AAAATGTGCGAGCGTCTTCTGCTCTTCTCGTAACGAAACGAAGCTAGCTTCGACAGCTAGTTTCTCGCCAATGTCGTGACACACTCGAAAAGTGTGTGAACCCAATTGACGGAACTTCGCGATGCAGGCGAAGGCGGACGTGACTTTTCAACGAGGAAATCTCGCCTCTCTGTTTCAGGGATGAACGCGCTGCTGGTGAAGGGGTTGCTAACGTTGGTGTCGGTGGCGGCGACCATGCGGGGCACCACGGTGCTCGGATTCTCCGGCGCGACACTGGTTATGGATCAGGACATCCCTTCGAGGACCTGCAAGTACAGCAGAGCGTACTCGATGATTCAGGTGCGTTGCGCGAATCTGGGCCTCGAGTGGATTCCCTCGAATCTGAAAACGGAAATTCAGGTGAGTCTCCATTCTTTTTCTCTCTCTCTCTCTCTCTCTCGCCTCGTTGACCAGCACACACCTGGCCTCTCTCCTCAGATCATGGACGCGTCGGTGAACAGAGTGCGAGTGTTGACGAACGACAGCCTGGCGGCGTACACGAACCTCGCCTACCTCTATTTAGGCGACAATTTCATCCAGGAGATCCAAGAGGGGGCGTTCGACAATCTGCGTTACCTGAAGGTGATCGACCTGTCGACGAACGGCTGCGACACCCTGCCCAAGAGCCTCTTCCACTTGCCCTATCTGCAGAAGGTTTATCTAGCGAAGAACAGGCTGAGCGACGACCTGTTCAAGGACGTGCAGGTGAGGTCCCCGCTTATCTTCCTGCAGCTGTCGAAGAACAAGCTCGGCAAGATACCGCAGCTGGGCCCGGTGCCGACGTTGATGCACCTGAACCTCTCGGGCAACAGTATCAGCTCCGTCACTCCAGAGGACTTGGCCCCCTACTGCTCCCTCAAGATCCTCGACCTGTCCAAGAATCCGATCAAATTCGACGCGAGCAACTGCGAGTGCGAGACGCTGAACGCGTGGCTGAGCGTCCGCGGGATTCGCGCGCGACCAGTTTACAATTGCACGGAGGAGCAGGAAAGATGCACCAGACAGCCAGAGTTCAGCAATAAAACGATGGAACTGTACGGGCGGTGCTCGGAGATCCTGCGGTTGCAAGTGGAGACGGAGAAGGCGAGGAACACGTGGATATTGATCGCCTGTTGCATCTCCGGCTTCCTCTTCTGCCTGTTCGTCGGCCTGTTTTGCGTGCACAAGCGAAACAAACGTAGGAAGAAGAAGCTGAAGGAACAGCAGAGGCTGAACGCAAACAACGCCAACACCGAACTGCTGAACAGCAATTTGAATCAGCCGGAGAACACCTGAGGTGTCCCAGTCACGAATCGTTTTCGACTCCGTGAAAAGTGAGAGAGGAAAAGAAATGAAGAAGAAGAACAGACGAGAGAAGCGGACGGTCGCGCTAGCTCTCGTCTGAAACGAGAAAATAACATACAACGTGTCGGGAGCAAGTTTTCCTCCAGGACGTGTACCCTGACACGATGTATGCACGCGGAATCATCTTTGTCGCCATCTATCGGCGAACGCTGAAAACACAGAAGCGGCGGTCCCCCATCAGAACGTAGATAGATCGAAAATTTGTTTTACAAGGCTTCGCCTTGTTCGAGGCGATCGAGAATGTGCTGCTTCGTGTGTATATACTACTGGGGGCTTTAAACGAAACGTCGTCCACTCTCTCTCGTCTGTGCTGCGATGACAAATTCTACGCCGTGGAGGAATATTAGGTTGCAGAAATCCGATCGAAAAACACACGTCCGCCTACGAATCTCTCTGGTGTATTAACCCCCCGATCGATCGAAAGCTCTCGTCTCTCTCTCGGTTTTATTCGAAATTCGCTGGTCGATTTGACGAAACCGGTTGAAGCGGAAACGAAGAAAGGCTTAGTTATAGTAATTGCAACGATTTTTTTTTTTTTTGTCTTTACAAAAGAAGACGAGACACAGAGCAAAAAGTGTTTAAAGGTCATAAATAATCATCATGTTACGAGAGGAAACGATGCTCGAATTGTTCTCGACCGGCGAGATTACACTCCGATTTTATCGGCAATCTGCCGAGTTTAATTGAAAACCGATATCCCAAATATTTTCGTCGCTTCTCTCCCTTGTTTCTCTACAACCATCGAATGCGCAACGCGATATCGAAATTTCGATAAACGCACGTGTTATCCCGCAATCATTGGAATCGGCACGAGGGATATACGTACGTACCGAATACCATATCCAACCGATCCAAATACGTAATAAATGTCTTGAAACGAGAGATTCGCGAAGATCGATCGTGCTTTTAATCCAAACGCTTAATTGACGTCTCATCGATATATACACATACGCGTACGAAGCAACCCCATTAAACACGTTGTATGAACGATTTTCGTTTTATCCAGAGACGATCGTTTGATGAACGCGGCGTCGGGTTCGATCGAATTTTCAGCAGAGAATATTCCTTTCCTTGCGTCGCGTGAAACCGTGTTTTTGTAGATACGTCTATGCATAAGCTGTACTACGTGTGTATATATGTATATACTTATTATATATGCATATATATACGTATATATTTGCGCAAGAAACCGCGCACACACACACGCACACGCACATGTATGTATGTATGTATGTATGTATGTATGTATACTCGTGTTGAATATTTATTGAATATTTAATGAAAACAAAGAAAAAACATTTTTTTGTTACTTTTACGTCCAAATTTTCAAAGGCATTTGTACTTTTTTTAACATATATATATTATATATATATATAAATTATATATATATATATCTCGCTATCATCGAAAATTTAAATCTAACGCAACTTTATGCGTTTTTTTTTCTTTCTTTTTTTTAATAAAAAGTGCCAAATGTTATTAGCCGATTGTACAAGAAGAACCCATCCACGTCGTGGTTCCAGTTTGAAATCGAAAGGAAAAATGGAAACGACAAAAATGGCTGCACCAATGTCCGAATATTATTATATGTTGTATAAGATATTAGTTCCTAACATTTGTACAATTCCCTTAGTTACCTTCTTTTTAAACAGTGGATAACACGTTACTTAAACTAGAGATTATCGCTCTTTCCGAGGATCAACGACAATGAGAGAAAGAGAGAAAGAGAGACGAAACAAGATAAACAGTAAGTTTTGAACTAACAGTAAGTAAATAAGTAAGAAAATAAAGCCGCAACCTGCCGTTTAACAAAGATTCTTTGTATACATATACGCGTTACGTACTTAAATCGTATCTCTAATGCATTCTCAATAAATTTTCTTTAACTTTTAATACGTATGATGACATATTGTACAAAAGCGTTACCGACGATTCGAAGAATTTCACGAAATAAATCTTAACTCTAGTCCATTATCGTTTTACTGAAACAAAATACCCCGAGATCCTCCCAACTATAAATTCATCTTGAAAGACGAACTTGTCCCGTTGCGATTAACTCGTCGGTCACAAGGATATCGCCTATAAAACTATCGGTAAATTAGAGTCCTGCCAGATGGCGACACGTTTCACTCAGTCATGAAGATTTACTGTTCGCTATGTAATTGAATATGACGAGAACTATGACATGAAAACGTAACCAACATTATTTATTTAATGTTCATGTGTAATTTAGTACGTTTGGTCGAACGCTTGCGTTCACGATATATTTCGAATTCAAATCCTGATATATATTTCTTTATCGATGTCGCCGCTGTGTTCCACTTGGTTAAAAAGGTGCATTTGCTGTGCAGCGCGACGGAAACTCCGAGCAGCAGTTCGTTGAAAACAACTTTCGTCTTTCGTTCAACGTCATGTGTATTCAATTAGACACGGTTATCGATTTGCCACAATCCATCTCGATAAGTTTTTATTTCTGTACTGAAAGATGTGTTGATAAAATACCCACCTCTTCGCCAAAAATGCCGTCCCAATCTCGATACTACTGGCAACGGAGTGACACGGATGTAGGAAAGAAACAGACGGAGAGATAGATACGCAAAATAGATTTGTATCTACAGAGCGATATCAGGTTATGATATTAGAAGTAGTTGAAGGTTAGCCAATAACTCATACGAGCGCTAGGCGAGAGCGAAGCACAGTCAGGTAACGATTTCCTGATTGAGTGGACGTTGTCAGTCGAACGTAACGTTGAGCAAGCGGAAAGTAATGCGAACGCCGGGAGATAGACACGTCCGTCCTGATTGTTGAGATCGTAAGTCACGTGATACATCTGATTCTAGATTTATTTGTATTGTCCCAGTTATCGTTATTTCCCAATTCAACACTTTTCCACTTTGATTCCACCCATCCTAGTAGCTCGACGCATCCCACTGGCTTGAAGTTGTTACGCTGAGGAAGCGTGATACGATTGTGACACGGCTCGTCCTGTCGATCATTTTTCAAATCGTGAGTGACGTTGATCAACATTGCTGATTTTTCGAAGATTCTAATTGCTCGCTATCACACGCATGTCCATTAAACCGAATTTTGCCAGTCAGAATTTTCCTTAGAATAAGCACGTGCACACAATGATTAAATCAAATGAGCGAAGTCCAGTTCGATATGAGCAATAAATAACAGTGATTCGACGTGTTTTTTCAAGTGTACTTTAAATCACGTACTTGTATATATGTATTATGTAAGATAATTAAAATGAAACAGTGTGTCTCAAAGCCATCTAAATGCACGGTACAAAGTGTTGCCATCTTTTTTTTTTATTGTTGCGCATCATTAACACTAATCGTTGAAACATTAACTTTAAATGTTAAGAATAAACCGCCGTTTATATTTAAAAATATGTTTCATGCTGTAAAATTTGATTTATCAACTTATCGTTCTTTATTTATTATTTGTATAGGCATGGTTTCATCTTTACCAAAAATGTGATCTTTTGCAGGAGAAATTAATTAATCAAAAATCATCATGGATGGAAAGGCAAAGGCAGAAAGGAAAAAGAATCCCAGAGAAGGAGCGAATCCTCTCAGTATTCTAACATTTGCGTAAGTTTCAAGTCATCATTCAGTGATACGTTCATTTTTTCTGGTGATAAAGAGGTGGCAGTGTTTCATAAATATCTCTAAATCAGATATAAAAAAGGTATAAAAGATATAAAAAAGTCTTATGTAAACTGATATAACCAAGTTATCTTCAACTTCATTATTAAATCAATACACAGCATTTTGAATGATTTATGTTATCTGCTATTTTAAGGCAGAATTTCATGAAAGAACGTTTTCACTATTTTTAATCTATTAGTCAGTTGACATTGATATTAGCCGTTCCAAGCCAGATAATAATTGTATCTTGTAGCATTTGGTTCAGTCATCATTGACTGATAAAGATAGTGAAATGTATAAAATGCTAATACACTGCTGCTAGTACTTCAATCACTGAAATAACATTGAAAACTTTCGTCTTAATAACGAGAATTTCATTTCCGTTGATAGATTTACATTGCCCACATTTTGGAATGGTTATCGCAAAGACTTGGAAGTAACTGATTTGTACAAACCTTTGAAAGAACATACCAGCAGCTCTTTAGGTACAAAGATATCGAGAATATGGCAAAAGGAATGCAAAGCATGCGAACAGAAATTATCGAACGAAGGAAAGGATAGCGATGACAGAAAACATGCTGGGAAAAAGAAGTTAAAGCAACCTAGTTTAGTAAAGGTCCTTATGAAATGTTTTGGAGTTCAGTTAATATTGTACGGAGTATTTTTAGCTGTTTCGGATATTGTGTTTAGGTACATGATCGTTTAATTTCATTTATTTATTATTTATTACAATTATAGAAAATCCATTTATGAATCTGATTATTTATTCAGATTATTACAACCCTTGTTTATTGGTCTTTTGATTCGTTACTGCAATAAGACGAAACTTGAATCTATGCCATTGCATATTGTAACGACCAGATTGCACAATTCTTCCAATTCGCAAGTTCGTGAAATCGACGAAGCGATGAAACCGTTAAGTCCCATAGCCCGTTTGCATTTCTTGCACCTAGCAATCCTTTCCTCATACCTATTTTAGATGGCTTAACATTTTTTCTCCACCTAGAAACTGAGTTATTAGTTAGTTATTACTTAGTTAGTTAATAGTTGCTAGTGTATCTAATGCGTGTAAATATGCAATCTATATTACTTGAGATTTCATTGATAGTAACTTCTGTTTTATGTACACAGGATACTGCAGCCAATACTGATTGGTCGACTGTTACAATATTACAGTAACATTTCGGCAATGACAAAAGAAGAAGCCTATTTGTACGCAGGTGGTGTCGTATTGTGTTCAGCAGTCTTGATATTTATTACTCATCCATACATGTTGGGAGTTCTTCACATTGGAATGAAGATGCGTATAGCTTGTTGCACGTTGATCTACAGAAAAGTGTTGAGACTGTCAAGAACTGCCTTGGGTGAGACAACAGTAGGACAAGCAGTGAATCTCTTATCAAACGATGTTAACAGATTTGATATAGCACTTGTACAAATACATTACCTATGGATTGGACCGCTTGAAACTTGCATCATAGCATATTTAATGTACAATGAGGTTGACCTATCTGCCTTTTTCGGAATTGTCGTACTCCTCTTATTTATTCCTTTACAAGGTAATGAATATTTATCATTTTCCCTCGTTACGTACATGTATACAACATTTGTTGTTTGTCACATTTCACATTTTACCGATATTTCCTCTTTTCTTTTAAACACGTAGGATATTTAGGTAAAAAGTCTTCGCAATTCCGATTGAAAACTGCCCTTAGAACAGATGAAAGAGTTCGATTAACCAATGAAATTATTACCGGTATTCAAGCAATCAAAATGTACACCTGGGAGAAACCGTTTAGTCAATTGATCGAAAGGGCAAGAAAGTATGTATTCCTTTTCTAACAAGAATTCTCGTCTCTATATACGTTATGTTATATCGTTGATGTTATATCGTTGCAGGAGAGAAATCAGTGTTATACGAGGTATGTCTTTAATCAGGGGTGTTACTATGTCTTTCATCTTATTCACGACGAGGATGTCACTTTTCGCTACTATAGTAGCTTATATAATGTTAGGAAATAGAATAACTGCCGAAAAAGTGTTCATGTTGCAAGCATTTTATAATATTTTACGATTGAACATGACCGTGTTTTTTCCACAAGGCAAGTACGATTGAACAGAATAACTATTAGCGATTAATTAAATCTAAAAAAACAATCGATCTCGTAGGAATAACACAACTAGCTGAATTGCTGGTCTCTGTAAAACGTTTGCAAAAATTTATGTTGTACGAAGAAATCAACAAAACGAGCGAAGAAGCGGAATCCAAGAAGAAAGCATCAAATGTTGGCAGGAATAAAAATGACGTGGACAACGTAGAAACTGATACGAGCGAGGAAAAACGCGAAACGGCCAGTTCACATCAAGGAGAACACATTATATTGTTAAAGAATGTTAATGCCAAATGGCTTTCCTACGAGCAGGAAGATACGTTAAAAAACATGAACATCAACGTGAAACCAGGTGAATTAGTTGCCGTTGTTGGCCAGGTTGGATCTGGCAAAAGTAGTTTACTTAACATATTGTTGAAAGAATTACCTGTGAACTCGGGTACCGTAGAGGTTCGTGTTGTTTCTTGGATAATTATTCTTTTTCGTACTAAATAACGAAGCAATTGTAAGCGTTTCATGTCGCTTCATTTGTAGATTAATGGAAAAATAACGTACGCTAGTCAAGAACCGTGGTTATTTGCTGGTGCTGTTAGACAAAATATTCTATTCGGTCGAAAGCTAGATCAATTTCGGTACGATCGTGTTGTTAAAGCCTGCCAATTAAGAAGAGACTTTAGTTTGTTGCCGTACGGCGACAAAACGATCGTCGGCGAACGAGGAATCAGTTTGTCGGGTGGGCAACGTGCCAGGTCAGTAATTATTATTTATATGCATCCCGTTAGAAAGAATATCAGATTACAATGTAACTGATTGATCATTCAATTGATTTACATTACAGAATCAATTTGGCAAGAGCGGTTTATACGGAAAGCGACGTTTACTTATTGGACGATCCGTTAAGCGCCGTAGATGCGCACGTGGGCAAGCATATGTTCGAGGAGTGCATTGTGAAGTATTTGAAGGGAAAGACTAGAATTCTCGTCACGCATCAATTACAGTATCTGCCAAATGTCGATAGGATAATCGTTCTGAAAGACGGGAAAATCGAGGCTGACGGGTATGATTCGTGGACGTCTAGTTTTGTCATAGTTTTTCTCTCTTTCAAATCATCATCAGCAGCGAAGCGGGTAATTTTTATTTCAGTTCTTACAACGAGCTCGTTGCGATGGGAATGGACTTTGGAACATTGTTGGACGATCCCGCCAATGAAGAAGAGCGATCAGGCTCTGCCCCCCCTAGCAGGTCTAATTCTCGAAACGCTAGTAGCACGTCGTTGAGTTCTTTGAAGAGTAACACTACCGAGAAGACGGAACCAATTGAAGTGAGTAAACGTGTTCACCGAAATGAACAGAAACTAGAAAGTTCTGTGAATTACAGGTAGCCGAGACTCGTACGAAGGGCACAGTTTCCGGCAAAGTGTATGGAGCATATTTTCACGCAGGCGGAAATTGGTGCGTCATAGCTACGGTTATTTTGCTTTGCGTGTTGGCGCAGATGTTTGCCACCTGTAGCGATTTCTTCATCTCTCAATGGGTCAACATGGAAGAGAAATACGTAATTATCCTATCCTGTTTTATATCTTTCATAATATCGAGACGAATCGAAATGTAAACTTACTGTGTCATTGTACAAAATGTGTATTCGTTTAAAGGTGGACGAGCCGGACATCGATTCAAAGTGGAACGAGCCGATAAGTCGTAATGTTTGCATGTACGTGTATACCGGCTTGATCGTTTCCACGATTGTCATTACTCTAACACGTTCCGTTGCATTCTTTACGACATGTATGAAAGCGTCCACCAGGTTACACGATCGTATGTTTCGATGCATAAGTCGAGCAACAATGAGATTCTTCAATACCAACACGTCCGGTCGAATTCTCAATAGATTCTCGAAAGATATGGGCGCCATCGACGAATTGTTACCACTAGCTCTGATCGATTGCTTCCAAATTGGCTTGTCTCTTCTCGCTATCATAGTCGTCGTTGCAATAGCCAACTATTGGCTGTTAATACCCACCGTGGTCATCGGAGTGATCTTTTACTATCTTCGTATTTTCTATCTGGCAACTAGTCGCAGCGTCAAACGATTGGAAGGAGTTAGTAAGTAGTTGTTTT